TTTTGGTTCAGATCTGGTTCAGTTTATGGTTCAAGATTGATCCTTGAAAATATGATTTTCTAAATGGGGAATACGATTCCCAGTTGAAGGGAGAGATAAAATTTTTGAAATTCGCCCCTTATTCCATAATCTTTGGGCGTCCATAGGATGGATCTCTCATCCCTTCACTCCCATCCCCAACCGGGGATCCCTATTAATCCCCATCCCCGACCTGATGGGGTCAAGGAGGCCAAGCACCAACTAGGATGGGGGAAAATTGCCATCCCTAACCTTAAGGATCAAAATCAAATGCCCACTAAACCAAGGTTCAAAATATCAGCCTGTATCGTGACTCACTTCCCCTTTTTTTAGTTTTTTTTTTTAAAGTATGGACGGGTCCATTACAGAATTCTGATTTCCACTGCAGATCTATAACATTTCAAAAGGTCAATTATCCCCACCCTATGCACCAATGCCCACCCGTGGATTGGCATTAATTCCAAGCTGGTACCTACTCCAACTGTACTTTAGGGCTGTGAATTCCGACGCTGGGCTGAACTGTCATTCTCCTTTTTTTTTCCAATTTGGTTCAAAGGGGTCAGTTTAAGGCCCCCTCTACCCCATAAACCAGGATCTGACCAGAAACCCCCTGTAGGGGCATATTGGGAAGCCCCCAATACGATGTGTGTTAGCCGATATGCCCCAATACATTGCGACTTTTTGATCCTTGCACTAAACATGAAAAGAATTTTATTTATATGTGAAAATCCCTAAAGAGGCGCTCTTCTTATCCCTTCAACATTCACTTGGTCTGGGTACCTGATTTTCTTTCATCTTATCAAAATGATTGTACTCTGCACATACTTTGGTCCTTGCCTTTTAGGCGTAAAAAAAAAAGAACAAACAAACAAACAAACAAATTTCTCATAAGATAATAATACAACATAAGACAAAAAGTTTGGATATACAAATCAATGAATGGAAAAATTACATCTCTTGGATTCTGTTGGTTGGGGGAATTAATTGTGAGTCTACTTTAAGCCAAGATTTATCTTGATGTTATTAATTATTCATTTGCCAACTCAGGATGTTGAGCATAAAAACTTCTACCATTCCATGGAATAGGCTGAAAAGATGAATTTTAGCATCTCCTGAAGTTTGCTTTACCTCAAGGTTACGTCTTATTTGCCTACAAGAACATAAGAAATGAACAATGATAAGTATGGAGAAATTTTTCTAGAAATTAAATAATCACAGAGCACTACGTTGGTGAATACTTAGTATGGTATGTTAGATAACACCTAACACTCCACAATATCTAGAAAAGTAACTCCACTAATTCTACAACAACAATACAACATGAGTTGTTACCTTTTTAAGATACTTTTTGTGAAGTTTTATTGCTCCATTGCATGCTTTTCTGGCATCCAAGTTTCCACTTATGTCATTCAATATCTGAGAGGAAAAAGGCCAACGTGTGAAATGATAGAAATGGTGCAGATAAAGCAATCTACTATTTTTAATTTTTACAGTTTTCAAAGTTCCAGAACTTCAAGAGCCAGCAAGACATGACTGGAACTTTCATATCATCTTTCAGGCAAAGCGGTCCTCTTAATTCCTTTTGTAAAATCAAAGATAATGGCATGGGAACTCTCAGACCATTTTACAGTAGCAAAGATGCATCACCCTCAATTGCAAAACACAACTCAGAAATGCAAGCTTTTGCCTCATGAACGGTAAAAGAGAAGTATCTGAAGCATTGCACTTTATTATATCATGATCCTTACCTTTACAACGTCATCAAGACCCCGTGCTTCTGCTAGTAGCTTTGAACTCTTGTCTTTCAAGACGCTAGCAACAAGAAAAACTGAAATAGGAGGAGCTTCCGCATTCTTTCCTCCACATTTCATATTATCCCTCTCAAACTTCCCAAATTGGTTAATTGGCTTCACTTTTCCTTTAGATTCCTCACCTTTTTCACTTGCTAAATCTAGAGGCTCTTCATACATTGTGAATAGATCAGGATCATACTCCAGGGCCCACATCATCTATACAAGGTTTTAATACCATATGTCAAGGCTTTACTGGAAAGAAAACTATCAAAATCCAAGGATTGAACCAGAATGTGTCCTAATAGCAAGCACATCAAAGTAAAGAAAGATGAACCAGAATGTGTCCTAATAGCAAGCACATCAAAGTAAAGAAAGATACAGAAATGCATTTATATCCAGGGTCCATTTCACCTACTTGAGGTTTAAATATCAGGTTCATGGCTACCTGAAATGAAGTATTCAAACTCTAGAAACCACAGAACAAATGTGACCACATTTGGTTATAAACCAATGTTGTCTGACTCAGACCAGATGTAAAATTGTTTTGGTCACTGGGTCACAGGTTGAACAGTTCAACTGTCGAGTTTGACAATTCAACTCGCTCAAATAAAAAAAAAAAGTGCAAAAAAGCATGAAAAATAGAGATTGTTTCCAATTGATCTTTTAAATCTATTTATTGGCTAGTTATCTTTCAAAGCTATTTTACATCAAAATAAGCTCAAAACAATAAATATTAGAGGCTTAACACCTATTATCACATGTATTTAAGTTTGATCAAGTCACCATTTCTAAGAACTGAGCAACCCAAAAACCACGTTGGGTGCTAGTTTCTGGTTTGAATGGTCTGAGCATCTGGTCTGGTCCAAGTTTTATACCAGTATAAGGGAGATAAGAAAAAAAAAAGGGAAAAAATGCACATACACATGCAGATTGAGATTTATATGTACATTGACAATGTTGATGGGGAAGGGTGTTGGTGCTGGAGGGTGGAGAAATACCTCCCAAAGGTACAATGAATCGCCAAATGAGAATTCACGACGGAACAAGACCATAAGCATACGGAATGCAAATAAATAATCACCTCCGCCCAGTGTCTCTGTACTCCAAGGTCATAACACAATTTTTCTTGTTACTTTTAATTTTAAGTAAAGAATCATACAAGGATCTGCAAATCAGATACAATTCCACTGTGCCTCATCTTAAAAAGAACTAAAAGAAATGACAAATCAATTAAGGCATAACCCTGATTATAATCAGAATATATATAGAAAACATAAGTGAGAATGACTTGACTACTTGTTCAACTTTGATCAAATTTATAAGTATTATTGGAAAAAAAAGATGCGACTAGGGAGAACAGTATTTCTTGGTGGATAAATGAGAGAGATTAGTTTGAGATGGAAGGGAACTCTAGAACCCTAATGAAATAAAATTGAAAAAGAGTGCTATATCCTCATGTTAGGGAGCATATCATCACTATCAGTTGTACTTCTCTCCTTTATTAATAAATTTTCTTTTTTATTTATTACCAAAACAATATCCTCATATTAGGTAAATCATAGAAGTGGGGAAAATTAGCACATATTGGAATGCACAGTAATAGGTCAAATGGATATTAAATATACGCTAATAGGTGGACCCAAGTTGACTGAGGATAACCAACAGTCAAACAGAATAGCCCATGAATAACCACCCTTCTAAGGTGCTGATCAAGCCAATTTTGATAATTATTGTTAGAAATTGAATTTTGATGGCTGCACTCTAGGGAATCCAGGAACCTTCAGTTAGGATGAAGTGGGGTTTGAATAGGAAAGTGGTATAATTAGATTGGGAAATGTTTGCTCAGTGGCTTCAGCAGTTCGAACCAGAGGAAGAAGAAGAAGAAGAAAAGGAACAGTCGAATCTGATTGCTAAACCCTATCAGTCGACCATAATATGAATTAGCCTCTAATGAGTTGTACAAATACTAAACTGCCCCCACTTAAGTATGGGACAGGAAGTCTCTAGTAAACTGCCACATAAGCACATAACTTAATAGAAATAAAATGACTAATCTACCCTTATTCGGCTAGCTCTAACACTCCCCCTCGAGCTGGAGAATATATGTCATATAATCCCAGCTTGTTACATATATAGTTCACTCTCCCTGAGCTTATTCCTTTTGTAAACAAATCTGCCCATTGACCACCTGAGTCCACATGTTCTGTGCTTATCTCTCCAGTAAGGACCTTCTCCCTCACAAAGTGGCAATCAATCTCGATGTGCTTTGTTCTCTCATGAAAAACAGGGTTAGTTGATATGTGGAGTGCAACTTGATTGTCACAGTACAATTTCACAGGTCTATCCATGGAGAACCCAATTTCTTGTAGGAGATTCCTCAGCCATACTAATTCACATGTAGTGTGTGCCATGGCTCTGTATTCGGCTTCAGCACTGCTCCTTGCCATAACCGTCTGCTTCTTACTCTTCCATGTCACAAGATTTCCTCCAATAAATGTGTAGTAACCTGTAGTAGATCTTCTATTAGACACAAAGCCTACCCAATCTGCATCTGTATACCCAATTACTTCAAGTTTTTCTCCTGGTTTGTACAATAACCCATGGCCTGGAGCTCCCTTCAGGTACCTTACAATTCTAAAAACTGCATCCCAGTGAGGTATCCGAGGGTTCTGCATAAATTGGCTCACCACACTAACTGCAAAGGAGATGTCTGGTCTCGTGATAGTCAAATAGTTCAGCTTCCCCACTAGCCGTCTATACCTTCCAGGATCATCAAATATTTCCCCTATATCACTGCTCAACTTAGCATTTGGCTCCATGGGAATTTCAACCGGTTTT